TACCACAACAAGGTTCTGTAAAAGCAAAAACCAACACTCTACCTTGCTTCTAATGCCCTAGTATTTTCCCATGGCATAGTCAGGGGGAAAATTGATTCCAGAAATAAGCCAAAATATAACAGGGGCATCCTATCTAGTTGTGTTACCAAAGTAATAAAACTGTCAATATTCCTATAAACCTATACTTCATAACAAAAATGATTTTATTTCCTAATTTTACTCTGCTGGTGTCTCAATGTATGTCATAACCTTTGTGAATATGATGGTCATGTGAGAAAGTTGATGTGTTCTCAGTTTGAACAGACTCATGCAAGCCTGGTGATCTTAGTAATTTTGTGGATTTTTCCTTTAAATGCTCACTCTGTAAGTTTGATGAATCAATTCTTCTGAGGTCTGACTTTCTTGCACCCTACAAAGAAACTTCTTTATTTTTCAAAATGCATTTATTTCTGAGTCTTCCTTTGTCACATTTATTGGCCATTTGGATTGCCTCTTTTGTACAGGGCCTTCAAGGTGTCTGCCATATTGCGAGTGATATTCAGTTCTTTTGATAGTCTGGATACTGGTTCTTCGTTGGTTATGTGTGTTGCAAGTATCTCCCCCACCATGTGGCTTTTTATTCTTTCCACAAATTTTTATGGTAACTTTTGATGAAAAGTGGTTCTTAATTTAAAGGTGTCACATTTATTAATCTTTCTTCATGGTCAGTGTTTTTCATATCTTGTATAAGAATAATTCTCTACTCCACGGTCATGAAGATATTTCCTTATAAATCAGCATCTTATTGACGAGAATTTATGTTTTTTGTTGTGTTTTGCTATTACAAACAGTTGCTGCAGGGCCATGTTATATATATTTTGGTGTACTTGGCATGCTTACTTAAAGGATTTCTATATAGAATAAACTACCAGCAGAGAAATTACTAGGCAGGATAATATTTTAAATGTTGATAGTCAATGAAAAATTGACTTCCAAAAGGTATTGAACATACCTTTCATTCAAGATACTTATCACACTGTATTACAACTATTGATCAATCTGTTCATCCACCTGTGAAGAGATAACCATAGCTTCCCATACGGTTCTGGATGCTGAAGAAAATAAAGCATGTCTACTCTTTAACATGGTTGTAATTAGGTTGAATTCATCAACTGCAAAGGAGAAAAACAGCAGAGATTGTGAAAAATGTTGCCTGGACATGGCTTAAGATCTAGAACTTGGATATTGAGATCAGACTGCAGCAAAGGATGCTTCTCCTTCAAGGAGATAATTTACAATGACTTAAAAAGAAGTATTCTAATACGTTTTGAGAAAAAGGTTTGATCAGTACACCTAAAGATGACTGGATGGCAAATTGGACTCTGATGTTGATTTTTTAGCTTGTAATTTTAAAAATAATTACATTTGCTAACAGAATATATTGTCATATAAAAAAGTAGGCTCCAAAAAGTGTGCCCAATTATGAAGATAATCAGATCTCCCTCTTCTTTTTGCTTATCCTTTTTCTTATTTTTCTACAGTGAAGATAACTTGCCTTCATAATAATAATATGTTGCTGATACATAGGCCAATTGGCTTTAAAAGTAAAAATTCTGCAGTCGAAATTAGACAATAACAGTACTGTATACAAACTTTTGTCTTCATTTCTTTTGTTTTATTTTGAGACAGGGTCTTGCTTTGTCACCCAGGCTAGAGTTCAGTGGTGAAATCATGGCTCACTGCAATCTTGACATGCTGGGTTCAGGTGATCCTCCCACCTCAGCCTCCTGAGATGCTGGGGCTACAGGTGTACAACACCACGCCTGGCTAATTTTAATTGTTTTGTAAAGATGGGGATCTCGCTGTGTTGCCCAGATTGGTCTTGAACTCCTGGCTCAAGCCATCTACCCACATCAGCCTCCCAAAGTGTTGGAATTACAGGTGTGAGCCAGTGTGCCTGGCCAACCTTTTATCTTATTAAAGCTTTATAATCCAGTGTGTTATTTTTTGAATTAAATAAAAAAAATTTAGATAACTTATGAAATTGAATAGATTCACATGCATTTGTAAGGAATAATAATAGAGTTCCTCTAAACCATTTACCCAGTTCCTGCAGTGGTAATATCCTGAAAATCAATAGTACTGCATCACAACCAGGATATTGACATTGATACAATCCATCTGTTTTACTCAGATTTCTCCAGTTTCACTTGTGCTAATTTGTGAGGGTGTACAAGTCAAGATGTGTGTATAATTCTATACAATTTAATCATATGTGCCAGTATCTACGGCCGTAGTCAAGAACAGAAAAGAATTTAATTACCAGAGTATTCTTTGTGTTGCCTTTTCAAAACCATACTTACCTCCCTAACTCTGGACAGTCACTAACCTGCTTTTCATTTCTCAAATTTTATCTTTTCAAAAATGTTGTATAAATGGAACTGTACAGCATGTAACCTTTTGGGATTGGTTTTTTGGTTCAGCATTATTCCCAGAAGTTCATTCAAGTTGTTGCCTCTTGATATTTTACTCTTATCTTTTGCTGAGTAGTATTCTGTGTATGAATATATCACAATTTGTTTAATTATTCACCCACTGAAGGACATTTGGGTTTGTATTCATTTCCCATTACAGCTATAACAATTTGCCACAAATGCAGTGGCTTGAAACAACCCAAATGTAGTATCCTGTAGTTTAGAGGTTAGAAGTCCTAAAACCAAGGAGTTGACCGGCTGTGTTTTTCTGGAGGCTCTAGGGGAGAATCTGTTTCTTTGACGTTTTCAGTTTCTAAAGGCTGCCTGCATTTCTAGGCTTGTGTCCCCTTCTTTAATCTTTTTTTTTTTTTTTGAGACAGAGTTTCGCTTTTGTTACCCAGGCTGGAGTGCAATGGTGTAGTCTCGGCTCACCGCAACCTCCGCCTCCTGGGTTCAGGCAATTCTCCTGCCTCAGCCTCCTGAGTAGCTGGGATTACAGGCACGCGCCACCATGCCCAGCTAAATTTTTGTATTTTTAGTAGAGACGGGGTTTCACCATGTTGACCAGGATGGTCTCGATCTCTTGACCTCGTGATCTACCCGTCTCAGCCTCCCAAAGTGCTGGGATTACAGGCTTAAGCCACCGTGCCCTGCCCTTTAATCTTTAAAGTCAGCAGTAGAACATCTTCAAAACTCTCTCTCTCTCTCTCTCTGACCTCTGCTTCTGACATCACATCTTTTTCTTTGACTTTGGCGTTCTTTCCTCCCTCTAGGATACCTGGTATTACATTGGGCCCACCAGGATAATCCAGAATAGTCTCCTGTCTCAATATGCATAATTTAATCACATTCTGTTCACCATGTACCATAAAATAGTCACAGCTTCCAGGGGTTAGAATGTGCCCATCTTTGGGAGGCCATTAATCTGTTCATTACAGGGTTGTTTCCAGATGTGGGCTGTATGAGTACAGATACTATAAGCCAGGCATCCCCTAACTACGGTCCGCTGGCTGCATGCGGCCCCCTGAGGCCATTTATCCGGGCCCCCATCGCACTTCAGGAAGGGGCACCTCTTTCATTGGTGGTCAGTGAGAGGAGCACAGTATGTGGCAGCCCTCCAATGGTCTGAGGGACAGTGAACTGGCCCCCTGTGTAAAAAGTTTGGGGATGCCTGCATAAGCATTTATACAGGTTCATGTGTGTGTGTGTGAACATCTTTATTTCTCTGGGATAAATACCCAGGAGTATAATTACTGGGTTGTATAGTGATTGCTTATTTTGTTGTGTAAGAAACTGTCAATCTGTCTTCCAGAGTGGCTGTAATAGTTTACATTCCCACCACAATGTATGAGTGATGCATCTCTGCATGCATGTCAGCATTTGATATTGTCACTATTATTTATTTTAGCCAGTCTGATAGGTGCGTAGTGATATCTCATTGTGGTTTTAATTTCCATTTTGTTATTGACTGATGTTGTTGTTGACATCTGTTGTGATACCTTGGTTCTTGTCTTCTTAGAGAGACTCACAGCAAAGGAGATAGAGCAGAGTAGTTTATTGTAAAGGAAAAAGAATATTTTGAAAGTTAAGTGCAGAAGAGACAGTACATCCTGAGAGAGTGAGGATTCAGAGTGGTTAGCTTATAAGGATGAAACAGTGAAGACTGGCACTAGGGAGATACTTTTCACGAGAGTCTTACATGGTTATACACAAGGCTGTGGGAAGAGGTGTTATTAGTAAGCATGTTCTGGGTGGTCCTCTGGGTGCACATGCACAGTAGCTGTGCATGCTTTTCATACCTCGAATGTCTCATCAGCATCTGAAATCTCCACCCAGGGGTGTGCTTTTTACTATGATAATGAACAAAGGGTCAGTTTAAGAACAGGTAAAATCAAAGTGCACATGCTCTCTACGGGGGAAATTCCCTACTGAAGATAGCTTTGCTTGAATGACCTCAATTACAATGCAAATGCTGAGGCTCACTGTGTTGACTGTACAGTCACCGTGGTTGCTGCGTCCCGAGGACATGGTCTACCTATCATGCCTCATTGTTGAACATCTTTTCATGTGGATGCTGATTTTCAAAAAGGTAGCAGTATCATCTCTAACGCAGTGGTTAGTAATGTTAAGTGCAACATGTATGTGAAAGAAGGATTTTAATTTAATTGCAAACAAGCAAAGGAGGGAGATTCTGGTAAAGCCCTGGCCTAGAGGAAGCTCTGCGGTATCACAGAGAGTAATGGACGCATCTTTGTGTGAACAAAGGGCTAGGCAGCTGCCACTCTGTGGCCAGGGACCTAGGCCAGGAGATGCGGAGTGCCGGGGGGAGGGGGGAGGCGCCCGATGAGGTGGAGGCCCTGAGTCCACGCAGAGCTGCGAAGAGAGAGAGGACTCCTCTGTCACCACTGCAAGGCGCGGCCCCGCCCAGGCCCCGCCCCTCAGGCGGCCGGGTGGCCCGGCCCCGCCCCCTCCCCCTCGCGGCCCCGCCCAGGCCCCGCCCCTCAGGCGGCCGGGTGCCCCGGCCCCGCCCCCTCGTCCCTCGCGGCCGCTCCAGGTTCCCGCCAGAATCTATGCGGCAGGCGTGGCAACCGCTGAGAGGGGGCGCCATGACAGAGGCTGAGGTCGCCGGCAGCACCCATGGCGTCCCGGGGCGGCAGCTCCCTGGGGCTCCTGGCCTGGCTCTTGCTCCTTCAGCCCTGGCTCGACGAGGCCAGGGCAGGCCGGGCTGGGGCTCAGGGAGGCGCAGCACTGCTCTCTCCCTCCACTCATCCCTCAGGGCGGGGCAGCCAGGACCCAGGAGCGAGCGGGTGGGAGCCGCCACCTGCAGGGGCTCCGGGATCCCCCGCGGCCCGCCAGTCCGGGGGCCACGCCGTGGCCCCCACGTCGGTGATGTTTCCGTCAGGTGAGTCTGATTCTTACCAGGCTCTGGCAATCCCACACGCACGATGATCCACCCGTACGGACCGAGGGGACAGCGGCAGTGGCGCCACGTGAGGCGTCTGGGCCGTGCCCTGCCGCGGAGGCCCGGCCTGGTCTGAGCGGGCGGGGACCCGCCCCAGAGGAGGCGGCGCTCGGGGACACATGTGTCCGGCGGCGGGGCGGCTCCCCGAGGCCTGGGAGGACCCGGCCATTTTCCGGAGGTGCAGGGGAGGCGGGCCTCGGTCTGAGGGTTCTGAGCCCCCCGGCTCTGGCGAAGGAGCTGCAGCGGCGTTACTCTCAGTCCCTTTCCCTGACCTGCCCCAGCCTGCGGCCATCGGATTTCCAGGATCACCGGCGGGTTACCGGCCCCAGAAAAGAAGTGGCCCTGGCAGGTGAGCCTGCAGACCGGCCAAGGACACGTGTGCGGAGGCTCCCTGATCGGCAGGCGCTGGGTGCTCACGGCCGCCCACTGCATCTATGGGTGAGTGTTCGGGGCTCAGGGCTTGGGCCCGGCTCAGGCTGTGGGACCTGGAGCCAGTCTGTCCCCCCTGCCTGAGCTTCCTCTTCCTCATCGGTAAAACGGGGTGACAGCCCTGTAGGTTTTATCCTGTCTGGGAGAGACCTGAGGATTTGCGTTTCTAGCAAGTGTCCGGGTGTTGCCGCTGCCACCGCCACTGCTGGTCTGGGGACCACAGGCCAAAGGGGTCAGGGGTCCCGGGGGGATGCGGTTTGAGGGAGGGAGGTGGCTGCTGGCTGTCATAGGAAGATGGGACCAGGCTGGGAAGCACCTGGAAGGCGTGGAAGCAGATTGCAGACCCTGGAGGATCTTCCATCAGCCACCTGGAGTACACCGTGAAGCTGGGAGACACAGACGTGCGTCACCTCTCCGGAACGGCGCGTGTGGTTCCAGTTCGCGACATCGTTATGCACCAAGATTTTACGACTCTTGGAATAATTCAGCATGACATTGCCCTAGCTCTGCTTGACTTCCCTGTGAATTACTCCACGCACATCCAGCCTGTGTGCCTTCCTGAACGGGCTTTCATGGTGCAAGCTGATACGAGGTGCTGGGTGACTGGATGGGGCAAAGTAAATGAAACAGGTGAGGGTCTGAAGCAAGACTGCAGCGGCCCCAGACCAGGGAAAAGGCTGCTTGGTACCCTGGGGTTGACCTGCAAGCTGAAGGGAGGGACAGAGAGCTAGATTTTTTTTTTTTTTTTTTAGCAAGTCAGGGAGGAGGATGCAGTAGATGCTGCCAGGGAGTAATTTTAACAACCGGTTTATGAAATTCTGTTGGTTTGTCAGGACCTGGGTGTTTGGGCGCTAGGCATGGTGGGTTCTCTTTAGGGTGAATTTTACCTCTGGGGGTGATGAGCTAGCTGTCTGACTTTTTAAGCTGTCCCTCCCTGGAAGTGCCGGCCTTGGTAGATAGGGAGCTTCCTGTGTGTAAAGAGGCCGGAGACTTTTCATTGAGGTGTAGGGCCTCTTATTCATGGGGAGAGGCTGGATTTGGTACCTTTAGGGCATTACCTGTCTGAGAGTCAGTGATCCTGCTCTAGAAAGTATAGATGCTTTACTGATGTACAGGATACTGTGTCACTATTAGTACTGCTACTCAGAGTGACAGATGCTTGGTTTTGGTTTCTCAGGGTGGTAACACCTTTCCTGTGTGTTCTTATTTCTCCTGTCTTGGTTTGGATCTTACATCCTCCTCTCCCCATGTCAACACTGTGCCTCATATCTTCCTTTGTCAAATGGGACAATATCCAATGCCCAAGAGGGTGTCTGTGTATGAACACACCGTATTGAGACCCAGAGTGGGCACGGGGTTCTCTTGTTCGGTTCCACTTACACAGGTCCACTCAATCACAAATTCTCTCTCTGTAGATCCATCAGATAAAGTAGTAACTGAGCTTCAGGAGGCTGAGCTACGCGTTATACTTCATGAAAAATGTAGTGAGATATTCAAGAAACACGTGGGAAGGTGGAATGAAGTGATCAAGAAAGGGACCGTCTGTGGCTACAGTGACCAAGGGAAGGATGCCTGTCAGGTCAGTTCATGGGCCTCTTGCTGCCTCAGCATTGCAGTTGTCTCCTCAGAGCTTCCTCGTCCGCAGCCAGTAGGGCCTGGGTTATCTCCTAGCCCCTCGGTTTACCCTCATTCATGGTAATGGGACGTGAGGACCAGCCAGCAAGGCTCTCCTGGGCAGCCTTCCTGATCCTTCAGGAGAGAGCAGCTAACACAGCCTGGAGTGGGAGGAGGGGTGAATCAGGCAGGTCCCACCAACAATGCGTGCTCCATGTGGGCTCCTTCTGTGTGACAGGCAGTATTACCACTCAGGTAAGCACTAGACTCATTATTGTCTCAGAGTAGGCACGATTCCATCATGTGTATTAAGTTTTTTGGAACCCGCCTTTTCAGTAGGTGCATGATTTTGCTTTATTGGAAATCGTCAATTCTCAGCTCTCATATTGACAGATACCTAAGGCTAGGAGGGTCTTCGGGGTTCCCGGGGAGCCCCCTGAGTGCCTGGCTCTGCAGCGCATCGCAGTGCAATCAGCCTGCTCTGATGTGGAGCCTATTTATTTCCTACAGTGATTGTCTTTCTTTTTCCAGGGAGATTCTGGGGGACCCCTGGTCTGTGAATTAAATGGCGTATGGGTCCAGGTGGGGATTGTGAGCTGGGGCATTGGCTGCGGTCGCAAAGGATATCCTGGAGTTTACACGGAAGTTAGTTTCTACAAGCAATGGATTGTTGATCACCTGAAACAAGCTTCCTGTTTGGATTCAGCAAACTTTCTCACTCTATTCCTGTGTCTGGTGATGCCCCTGGGCATGCTGGTGACCTCGTGGTCAGACCCCATTCCACTCTCCTGCTGTTTCTGAGTCTCATACTAGGGCTCTCCTCCAACCTCCCACTCCTTCTCAGTGCCCTTTCTGCAAATCCCAGTTGGAATCCACGGGCCCTCTGGAGATCCAAACAGCAGAGCATGGCGGAGAGACTGGAGCCAGGAAAGTGTCCTTGCCTGGTGCTCTGGTCACCTGCCTCTGCCGTGCCTGCACGAGGGCTGTGCTCTGCCTGGTGGGAAGGAGGGATGAACCTATTCCAGCTAGAGGACCAGCTGCCCTGCCAGGGGGCCATGGTGACTCTTCAATACCTGGGGGAACATCTGTCGAAGAAGAGAGAGACATCATCAACCGTGAAGCAAGCATTAGATGTGGTTCTGGTTTCAGGGCTCTCACCTGAGACTTTATCAGCTGGGCGATTGCTCAGAGAGAGTGAAGGAGGCATTCCCAGGTCCCTGGAGAGGTGTGAGGCCTGGGACTTCCACTCTGGCTCAGTTGTCTGGGGCTGGGAGAAGTTCCCCTGTAGCCCAGTGTGGGTCCATCTGTGAGTGGACAGCCTCTGCCCCACCAGCTCTCTTGGGGCAACCCATTGTTGGCACCCCCTTCCTCAGTGCCCTAGTGGCCGCTTTCAGGGACACCACAAGTTGTGTTGAGGCAGTTATGGAGTGTGGAGTTTTCAGAAATCAACTGAATAAATATTTGGAGAGTCTCCTGTGTTTCTGAAGCTCTGCTCAATGGGGCGTGAGGTTGTATATAACATACTCTGTAGAGAACTGGCTTTCCATTTGTTAGAAATGTATTCATGGTTTTTATAAAACTTTGGCAGAGCCAGAGATGAGGAGTTTGTCTGCCCTCATTTAAATCCAACAGGTGGCTTTACCCAGTGGGTCCTGCTGCCTGTCTTTTTTTTTTTTTTTCTGGTCATCAGCATCTCTTTAGCTGGGAGCGTGGTACTTGAGTTTAACAAACCCTGCATCAGGAGCAGGGGATCAAGAGGGACAGAGGCTGGGCGTGGCACACTCAGACACCTTCCTCCCTCTCCTTGCTGCCTTGTAATAAACAGGCCTTGAGGGGGCAAAATGGAGTATGGGCTGGTCCTTGAGCCCAAAGAGCTGAGTACCCACAGGGAGGAGGGTGGGAAGGAAGAGCGCACGTGTGTGTGTGTGTGTGTGTGTGTGTGTGTTTGTGTTTGTGTGTGTATGTGTGTGTTTGTGTTTGTGTTTGTGTGTGTGTGTGTGTGTTTGTGTTTGTGTTTGTGTGTGTGTGTTTGTGTGTGTTTGTGTTTGTGTTTGTGTGTGTGTGTGTGTGTTTGTGTTTGTGTTTGTGTGTGTATGTGTGTGTTTGTGTTTGTGTTTGTGTGTGTGTGTGTTTGTGTTTGTGTTTGTGTGTGTGTGTTTGTGTGTGTTTGTGTTTGTGTGTGTGTGTGTGTTTGTGTGTGTGTGTGTGTTTGTGTTTGTGTGTGTGTGTGTGTGTGTTTGTGTTTGTGTTTGTGTGTGTGTGTGTGTGTTTTTGTTTGTGTTTGTGTGTGTGTGTGTGTGTTTGTGTGTGTTTGTGTTTGTGTGTGTGTGTGTGTGTGCATGCAAAAGAGAGAGAGAGAGAGAGAGAGAGAGAGAGAGAGAGAGAGAGAGATCTTGCTGCCTGAGGGAGGCTGGGGCTGGTACACTCTGCTTCTCAAACTCTACCTGGTTACAGTTAAACCCAGGAAGTCCTGGGTCATTTCCTACAGAAATGCCCAGGAAGAAGAGCTGGAGACCCAAGACTTGCCACGTACTTCTGTTACGTGCAGCTTTCTTTCAGCACAGGCTGACTGACCCTTTTCTGTGTTCCATCTGCTGAGAATGCCAGTATGGCTTCTCATTTCCTTCTTTCTTCCTCCACATCAGTTTGGCTCCAGTATAAGCATTCTCCTTTTCCACAAAACACTCTTGTGGACTCTGCTGTGCTATGTAATGTAATGTGCCTTCTTCTGGGCTCCCTGGCCTCTGCAGTCTCTGCACCTGTTAATTTCTCTGTTTCCACTGGTCGATACTTTGCTATGGGACTCTGTCTAATATTTCCTCATCTTCCATCGTCCAGCTCCAGGTGTAGAACAGAGAAGTTTAAGAACTCTCTGATGAGTGAGTGAGTGATGAGTAGATTCTTAGATGCTCTGTATCCTCCATTGCCTCACTCCTTTCTTTCACTGTCCTTTCGTCTCATTGCTCTGTCCCCCTTTTGCTTTCCAAGTTGCCTTCGTGAAGGGGAAAAAACATAATTGGGTAGGCAAGGGTTACAGCCCCTGCAGTGGGGAAAGTCCCAGGCTCCAGAAAGTTTATGGTTCCGGATGGGGTGCCCTTTGGTCTTCCAATGTTAGAGCATACTTCTTGTTATAGGAGAACAGAAATTCCACTCAACATCTTGGTTACTGAGGAAGAGCCTCTGGCTACCAGAAAAGATGAGCATGGCCTCCCAGGGAACAAAACATCAAGCGCCAAGTACACATTAGTCAATTTTACTTTTTCCAGTAAACACTTGCGAATTATCTTTTGTGATTTGGGCACTGGCCTTCCTCCACAGATAAGATGTAGATGGCAGGTTGGGGATAGAGGTCGTCGTTAGGAGGACTCCTGGGTAAGGAGCTTGGTGGCTGGGTAGAACCTGAAAGAGACAGAAGACACAGGGAGAAGAGTTGCTGAGTGTCAAGCAATCAGTTTTAGTAAAAATACCAGACCTGAATAAAAAGGAAAGAAAAACAAACAACAAAAATCCCTATGGGTTTCTAGCCATAAGGGGCAAGTGACAGAGAGAGAAATAAGCATTTCTAGTGGTCTTGAAATACCATTTGTCACCAAAAGAAACCAGGACTGCTTGGAGAAATGGCTCGAAAAATTTACAGGTACAAAACAGGAAATGTATAAAATAAGCCTGAAATTTCTTGTCATACCAGATAGCAAGGAAGCTATTGTGTCAACAGGACTCAGAAACAATCGGAAGAGGCACCCTGTATTCTGACAGGTGTTCCTGCTAGATCCCACTGCAGAGAAATCACAGCCATCCTTGAGCTTCTGAAGATACGAATTCACAACTGCACCCCTTACAAAATGTGCACTCAGCTACAGGGAACTGATTCCCTCAAGATTTAAGTCCCTTCACAGGGGTAACCCATAGCAAATAATTGCTATGCAGAGATGCAAAGGTCCAGCCTCCTTCCCTCAATCTGGGATATCTTGGAAAGACCTCTTGTAGGATCAGCTGAGATGTCAGTTGCAACTGGCTTCTGTGAGCAGCTTCTCCTAGGAGCACTCCTCAACAAACCATTGGACAGAATTCTCTATCAGAGTCCATGTTCAGAGAACCCAGTGTAAGCCACCTTGCCTGGCAAAAGATGCCTTTGATGTGTTTCAGGATTCTACTGCTGAATAACAATCACCCCAAACTCAGTGGCCTAAAACAACACATCGTAACTATGGTCAATTCTCCTTCATACTTGCAAATTCACCTACTTGCTGAGATTTATTTTAACCCAAAAGTCAGTACTGGCAGTGATTTGTGGTCACTTGTGGATGTGCACAGTGCAGTGGGAAAATTTGAATTGTCTGACATATGTGTTCCTAGCTGGGGCTGTACAATGTGCTATTTTGTCTGCTTTCATCTTTCTTACTGTAAACAAGTGTCTTTTTTGGGGGGTAATCAGGGATGATTTTTTTTTTTAATTTTTATTTTAAGTCTGGGGTACATGTGCAGATCTTGCAGGACTGTTACACAGGTATACACATGCCATGGTGGTTTGCTGCCTCCATCCCCCTATTACCTACATCAGGTATTTCTCCTAATGTTACCCATCCCCAATCTCCACACCCCCTGCTATCCATCCCCTAGCCCTCCACCCCACAACAGACCCCAGTGTATGATGTTCCCCTCCCTGTGTCCACATGTTCTCATTGTTCAACACCCACTTATGACTGAGAACATGCAGTGTTTTGTTTTCTGTTCTTGTGTCAGTTTGCTGAGAATGATGGTTTCCAGATTCATCCATGTCCCTGCAAAGGACACGAACTCATCCTTTTTTATGGCTGCATAGTATTCCATGGTGTATATGTGCCACATTTTCTTTATCCAGTCTATCTTTGATGGGCATTTGGGTTAGTTCCAAGTCTTTGCTATTGTAAACAGTGCCACAATGAACATATGTGTGCATGTGTCTTTATAATAGACCAATTTATAATTCTTTGGGTATATACCCAGTAATGAGATTGCTGGGTTAAATGGAATTTCTATTTCTAGATCCTTGAGGAATTGCCACACTGTCTTCCACAATGGTTGAGCTAATTTACACTCCCACCAACAGTGTAAAAGCATTTGTATTTCTCCACATCCTCTCCTGCATCTGTTGTCTCCAGATTTTTTAGTGATTGCCATTTTAACTGGTGTGAGGTGTCTTTAACTGTCACTTAAAAAAATTTTTTTTGTGCTTGTTGTTGGTGATATTGCTGTTTAAAAGGGCTCCAAGGCCAGGCGTGGTGGCTCATGCCTGTAATTTCAGCACTTTGGGAGGGCAAGGTGTGTGGATCACGAGATCAGGAGTTCAAGACCAGCCTGGCCAACATGGTGAAACACCATCACTACTAAAAACAAAACAATTAGCTGGGCATGGTGGTGCACCCCTGTAATCCTAACTACTCAGGAGGCTGAGGTAGGAGGATTGCTTAAACTGGGGAGGTGGAGGTTACAGTGGGCCAAGATCGCACCACTGTACTCCAGCCTGGGCAACAGAGTGAGATTCCATCTAAAAAAAAAGAAAGGACCTCAAGAGTACTGCTGAAAAGCTGGCTAGTGCTCCTAAGTGCAGTAAGGCTGTGATGTGCCTTATGGAGAAAAAAATAGGTGTGTTAGATAAGCTTTGCTCAGGCACTCTTAGTTCTGTTGCCTGGGAGTTCAGCTGGTTGAGTATACTAAAGGAGGTCTCTTTAAACTGGAACACACATAAAACAAGGTTATATTTTGACTGGTCAATGAGTCTATTTTGACCAGAGGCTCACAGGAAACTAACCCTATATTTCCTCTAGGAGCAATGGTTCAGTATTCATGAATTCAATCCTTGTGATGACTTTATAAAATATAACTTCTGTGAATAATGAGATTCAATTGTATTTCTCATAATTTTGTAGAATAGTTGGGCAGTTCTGCTGAGCTAGTCTGAGCAGATTCCTGTGGTTACACTTCAAGCAGGGCCAGGATGTCCCGAGATGCTCTTGCTCAAATGGTGAGTGGTTATCCGGGAATATAGGTAGGGGTGCCCTACTTTTTCTCTATAAAGGTCTTTCGTCCCCCTGTAGATTAGATCAGGTGGATTCAGGACAGTGCTTCCAGTGAGTGAAAGCAGAGATTGTAAGGCCTCTTTGTGCCTAGATTCAGAAGTTGTAAAACTTAACTTCTACGATATTCTGTTGGTCTGAGCATGTCACAAGGCCAGCTCAGGTTAAATGAGGATGTAGAACTAAATTTCATTTCTTGATGGGAGAATATGCAAAATATTGTGACCATATTTTCTAATCTACCACAGTAAGCATAAAAATTGCAATGCATAAAAACCCATAAAATATGTTAAAGTGCAAAATCTTTATAAAACTTTACCACATCAGAAAGAGAAACGATATCTTTAGAAGATTACTATTTTTTAACCCTCAGTAGATCCAGGCAAAAATCATCAACAGCTGATAACATCAGAAAATGAGGCCATCTAGACATT